AAAATTCTTCTACACAGGACAAAAGCAAAAGTTAAAGAAAAAAAAAACAAAAAAAAAAAAAAAAAAAAAAAAAAAAAAAAAAATAAAAAAACCCATTTTCCCAAAAAAAAAAAAAAAAAAAAAAAAAAAAAAAACTACTTTTGATTGTCATCAAACATAATTTTCAATGGGCGCTAAAGTGTGAGATTGAATAGGGGGAGCCACATTGCCCCCCTGTTTGGACAGGGAGTTGTCCAAGAAGAAGAACTCATTTTCAATAGGTCTTAGCAATGGTTGGCTTTGATTGAATAATACTAATGTAATAATAACATGTAGGACAGTTGACAATTCAGCCCTTATTTGATTCCCATTATTTAAAAAAAAAAATGAATTTTTTAATAGTGTTTTGATATCATTTCAACCACACATTCTTCAATAAAATAATATTACACGCAAATTCAAAACTTTTTCTTATTTTTTAACCACACATTTTTCATCAACATACTATTCAAAAAATTATTTTCTCCCTCAAAATGGGGCTCAAACAAGGGCTTAATATGATTTTGACCATTACTTTCTTATCAGCAATAGTGTGAAAAGAAGGCCCGACTCCAAGTTGTTCAAGAACAGTGGCGTTGAGTTTCTCAAACTTTTGACTTAAGATTAATCAGTTCTATTTCTTGATTATGGTAAGGAAGGAATATTACTCAACGTAGAGTGTCACCTCGACTTCTTGAGAATATTATATACTTTGAAGATAAACATCTTTTAAACGTAATTGAAAAAATATATATATAATATATTTGACAAACATTTCTAGCTCCTAGATTCCCTATGCCAATTCCAATATGCAGGATTCAATTTTATTAATCAAAAAACATAGAATCAGTACTATAATCAACCACGAATCCTAATCCTTTCATGTGCATGGAACAGAGATTACACTCCAACCCACGAATCTAAATTTCCTATTCTATATAATATCTTCTTCTCCAAATCTTATCATCAGAAAAAAAGTAAGAGAGATTTCTGTTTGCAGGAAATTAATAGACTTGTTTTTGCTAGTCATTAATTTGATCATCAAACCAAGCAAAAATGAGTCATTCTTGACGCTCTGCTGCCGCAATTCTCTTATGCTGCTTCCTCCTCAACCGTTGCCTTCAACATCACCTAGAATAAAGACTAATTTATTGTAGTCCACGTAATACTATTAAGAAATCAATTGAAGTAGTTTTATGATGCTAAAATTGTTGGATTTTAGTGTAGTGGATGAAACAGGATTCATTCATACCGCATATGAACTTTACATGTTTGATTTATACATATCTTATATGCAACATACCGTATTTACAACTTATCGTATATGTAGCATATCGTATTTACAGCACACCGTATTTGTACATACCATATTTGCAACAGCTTAGCATACCGTATATGCTGCCTACCGTATATGCATATATTGTCTTTAGCTACTGGTTTAGCACTTACACATACCAGATTTGCACAAACACAGTTTTATATACTAGTTCGTACATACAAAATGTTATCTAAATTGTGAGAATTAAAGCAAATTAATCTACTTAAACAAGTATAACAAATTATATTATTTGCAGAGACACAAAAGCAATATAAATTCCAAAAACAGGGATTTAAACTGGCCCTTGTTTGAGCCCCATTTTTTTTGGGAAGAATGATTTTTTGAATAGTGTATTAATGAAAAATATGTGGTTAAGAAATAAGGAAAACATTTGGATTTGTGTGTAGTATTATTTTATTGAAGAATGTGTGGTTAAAATGATGTCAAAACACTGTTGAAAAATATATTTTTCCAAAAGAATGGATCTCAAACAAGGGCTGGAAAAGCTAACTAAATCTAAAATCATGTAAATCTACAAATAACAAAATGCACAGAGATTCAAACTGGTTAAAAACAAACTTTTAACTCGAGGTCTGTGCAAGCACAGTTTTCTTAAAATGGATTCGCTCTCTCACCGTGCATGTTTGAGTTTTAATCCGAGCGTTTATTTTCCATAATAAAATAGTAATACAGCAGAATCTGAGCACTGCATACACCACTCACGAACTGTATCACCACCAATATGCAGACAGAAACTCAAAGTATGTATGCAGACAAAGAACAACTATGCAGAGATTTTTCCCTTGTATTTCCCGTGTATTTGAGTAGAGAAGCTTGCTGAATAAATAGGTTGTAATGAAGACTTCAAGGCCAGGAGTTACGTCATTAACTCAGCAATGAATATTGAAGTTTCGATTGTTTTTAAAATTTAAACAGTTGAAGAAAGCAATAGAAAATTGTAGTAAAATGTGGACTATCCAAAGCGGCCAATTTTTGTTTCATTCGGTTCCACATTTGTGTACGCAGGTCGTGCACGCACACAAGTTCAAGGTTTGATGCACAATTTCAATCCTTGATTTGCACCCTCTGCATGCGTACGTGGAGAGAACATCTTTGCTACACATGATTACACCCTTCCAAAGTGTAATTCTATATAAAGTGGTTCATACTTTCTCCATTTTCCTATGTGGGACTAGTTCTATTTTTCTACATAAACCATCTTCCAATGGTCATCTTTGAGTTTCAATTTCTCATTCATTCATTCATCAATTTTGGCAAATAAATATATGATTTCGATGCTCTCACGGAAGAGAACAATGATTAACTTGGATCTTCCAAATTAGACCAACGGGTCCCACTCAAATTTTATGCCAAAATCATCCACTAGCTCATTTTTTCCAACAAAAATCCAATTGGCCTATTGAGAAGTGATTGTTTTCTAACTGTATACTTTGATGAAAAGTAAGCAATTTATGGCCTATTAGAAATTGCCTCTCTCTGTCCATAAATGTGAATGTATCCTATCAAACTATACACATTCAACTACACAGAGAAAAAGAGATTGAACAGTTTTTTGTTTCTCTTTATTTTGCAGATCCAAATCTTCTAATTAAATTGATGTCATATTAATTGTTATCAGTTGTGAATTCCAGTAACCTTTGCGTGTACAATGACTAGACACGCACAAGCATTCTTATTTAAGGTGATGTTTTATTTATTTATTTTAAGATTCTTATTTGCTGCTTACGTGGTGTTTACTTAATGCTTGCACTAACTTGAAACAATTAAGGAGGATACTTAAAGATGCTGAATCCAAATCTGTTGTCTTTAGTAATTGCGAATATAGTGAAATTAAACAATGCTGATAGTCAAGTTTTGATGGAAAATGTATTATTCAAAAGTTTTGATGAATCATATACAAAAATGTTTTGTTTATGAAATTAATGTACGATTAATGTTGTTTGTTAGTTATCAAAGTGGCCAAACCCTATGGTATTATGAAAACTAAGTTAAATAATTTATTTATCAATTACTCGATAGTTTTAAACTTATAAATGAAAATGATATTAGAATTATTGTTGTTAAGAGTATATTGACGTTTATAGATTATAAAATTATTGTGGATCGCTTAAAGGATGATCAATTAATTTTATTAATCTTGAACATGACTACGATTAATTGATATACTTGGTTAGATGTGTTTTGTATATTCAAAGATAATAGACATATTTGATTAGACTATATTTAATTTTCAATTAAGTGAAACTAAATTAGTATCATTATGTTTATTACGATTGTATGATGTAGTATCATCCAAAGGAGAACTATGGTATACATTTAAGATTATGTTATCTGAATTTCTACCCAAGTATTTAGGTAATAATAATAAAAAAAATTAATATTGAGCATTTTAAGTTTTGCAGTATCTGTTCCAGTTTTTCTGCATTTTGCATCTTTATTTGTATCACTGTTCAATGGGCTTAATTCTTCTGGTTGGTGTGAAAAAGTTTAGTTCAATTTAGGTGTTTTGGACTTTGACTTAGCACTTCAAGTTGAGAAACGTGTTGATCTCACTAATGAAAGCAGCGTCGATAAAAGATATTCCTACAAGGCTTGGAAAAGATCAAACAAATTAAAGTTAATGTTTATGCGACTGATCTTAGCAAATGATATCTAGTCTGTTATCCCTAAAATTGAGATTGCTAAGGAATATATGAAGCTTGTGGTAGAATGTTGTCAAACAACTAACATGTTACTTGTTGACATACTGAGAGGTATCTTAACCACTATGAAATTTGATGTTCCTTTTACCATGTATGAGCATGCTATTGAAATGAGTAACATTGCAACAAGAATTAAAGACTCTTCGGATGAATGTGGATGAGAACTTCCTTATACAGGTCATCATCACCTCCCTGTGCTCCCGAGTATGGTTTATTTCAATTGAACTATAATACAATAAAAGGCAAATGGAATGTAAATGAGTTGCACAATATGCTCATGCAAGGATATAAGGCTTAAGAATCAAGAACTCATTCCGTTCATTTCATAAGTTCTCAAGAAGCTTGAAAGAAACATAAGAAAAGGTTTGGAAATAGCCATAGCTATCAGTGGCGGTCTTGCAGGTCACTACCTGACAGTTCAATTGTAAATTTTACATTTCTTGTCTTTTATATTACACCATCTATATTACACCATCTGGTTAAATTTGTTTCTTTGGCAACTAAAATATTCATGTTAATGTCCCAACTGAACTGTATGAAAAATGAACTGCACTACACGTTAATGTCCCCCGTAGTGACCTTGTGAATATTTCCCGTGCAAGGGAAATATCCTGGTAAAATTGTACTGATATAGAACTGTACATGACTATTATTTGATCCCATTTGATCTTGTTCAATCATTCACTATATGCTTGTTTGAAAAAAGCTTTAAAATTTGCTAAAAATTTGAGGTCAAATCTCATTTCTAATCACACATTTGATGGAACTTACAATTTTCATCAACTTTTCAACTACGAATTTCATCAACTTTAATCAAAATCTACCAAAACTTTAGTCAAAAGTTTTATTGAACAACCCTCTGATACTTAAGGTCTCGTATGTCCATTTTTTTGCCTCATTTTACACCATGTAGAGATAAGCCATTTTAGAACACGTTTGCATTAGCTTAAAAAGTATCTATTTAAAAAGTACGCATCTACACAAAAGTATTTTGCAATGAGATAGTCTTGAGCTTTGGTAGTCTCTTCATATGCAAACCCATAGGCTACCTTTCTAGTCGAATAGTCTTGAGCTTTGGTTTCTCTTCATATGCAAACCCATAGGCTACCTTTCTGATCAATTCGACTACATATCATACAAATGAAAATACAAAATAGCTGTAGCTTTAGCACTTATTCCTCTCGTCTTACCAAACAACGACCTAAAATGGATCATCGTCAAGGTACAATATCTTCATGCGCATCAAAAGCTGTTCATTTTGTCCCATCAGAAGCTTGTTTAACATGTATCCACCAGCTGCTGCTCTTTTATACTTCAGACTCCATTTGCTCTAGTAAAACAGAAGTAATCATCAGATATTTCAGTTAGTCATCCAGTTGTCAACCATTCGTAGCCCGTGAAATTGCACATCAATGAAGAACACTGTAATACTAAACTAGAAAATTTCTATTTAAGCTGATAGTGTTCTGCAGATCACCCAAAGATTTCTGGCCAATAAGGCAGACAAGTCCAACAGTACACATTTACACCTACCTAACCTGAATATTATTGTTAATCGAGGGTATTTAATGAGGTAAAAAAACATCATGCAAGATTCTGTCAATTGACAATCCAAGGAAGACATCTCCATACATTAATTTCCCAAGTTAATTGTTTCAATAATCACCCAATTATACAATGGTCATGATTTACTTACAAAATTTCAAAACGCTTCACAGTGCTCACTGAACTTTATCCATTTGCACTCCATCCATCACCCTAAAAAAATCCGTTACCTTATTCCCTGATGTGGCTAACGGACAAGTTACAACCATTAAATAAATTACAATTCAACTTAACTATTGTTTCATTACTCATCCAAATTACACTTGGTCACAGTTTACTCATTGCACTTCAAAATGCTTCCCAATGATGACTCATCTTTCAAATGTTGTACTTCATCAATCATTTGTCATATGTTGTTTCCTTCGTTCCTAATGTTCACATTGAAATTCCACATGGTAAGTTATAAATGTTAAAAAAACTACAACTTAACAAAACTATCAACTCGCCAAAATCACCATATGTGAAACGTGACTTCCACAGCCCTATAAACTTCTTAAAAACCCAATAAAGCGTCCCCAATAATTTTTTTAGACATATTATTTTTCCAATTTGAACATGTACTGTGCAAAAAATAGGTTTCAATCTGAGGCTAAAAATCTGAACTATAATATGTTCGGTTTTTATAAATTCATTTGAGAAAATGCTATCTCTATATTTCACCCTTTTAACTTTTAATTCCGTACAATTGATCATATGTGATCCTCAATCATAGTTTTATATTTCGATCATATTTTGTCTATTTTCACAATTTTTCTTGTCAACTGTCTCAAATTCCATCAATTTAATCGATCTTTACGTAACAAACACAATTAACACAATTTATATAGATATAAGATATAATTCATTAAAATATCCAACAAATACTTTAATTTAAAAGCCTAAATAAATGTAACATAATGCAGTTATCACTAAGAGTGTTTGATTGACATGGAAAATATCACCTAGAAAAGAAAATGTTTTCCATCTTTTGTGGAAAATAAAAATCACCTCTGTTCAAGGAAAATGTTTTCCTTAAAAACAAGGAAAATTAGGTATATTTTCAAAAGTTGGAAAATGTTTTCCATGAAAAAAATAACAACCAAACACTCTTTGGGTGGAATAAGTTGGATGATTATTGAAACAATTAACTCTTAATTTTCTATGCCTTTGACTCTTGACTTTGCATATAAAGGTGAAGGATTTGATACATTTCAGTCATCAAAATAAGGGATCAAGTTTGGTCAGAAAATAACTTTTGGGTCTTCCTTTCAGCTGTCTCCACTTTAAGGCCACAATTAGGATAATCTACGCTCCAGAACAAAATTTTCCTTTCCCGACAAGCTCTTGGAAAATCATTTCCTACAACTCATGACCATCCATTTTCTATTTGCTAATAAGACTTAATTATGGTAGTGGTTTTAAAAAGCCCTACAGAGATTTTTGAAGATGCAAAACTATATTTTCGAAGTAAATCTATTCTTGTTTTATAGTTCCTAAACATTCTGCCAACTGTAAATGTTTACTTACTCTCAAAAGTATCCAAGATGTTACAGTAAATATTGGTACTATAAGTTCTGTAAAGAGTAGTCAAATTTATTCAAAAAAAGGACCATAAAAGTAAATTGACATGTCAATCAATGTCAATGCTTGTTTATAATCATGCTTAGAGCTTCAACTAACAGAGTTAATAAAAGTTTTCTTCATTATATTGTTCAATATTGTCTGCACCAAAGACGGTAAAAATAGAATAGAACCCAATTCCTCTAGAATTCTTAAATCTCACCAGAATTTCATTTAGAAAGAACAGTACCTGAGCAGCACCCTACTTTTGTTACACTGATAGCTTAGTTGTACCAGCAAGGATTTGTAATGCAGCACCATCATGTTTTTGTATTTGTAGTAGGTTTTGGAAGGGAGTCAAACTGAGAGAGGATAAATTTAACAAGGATTAGTTAAGTTTTCAGAAGAAAGCTGTTGGTTCTGCAAGCAAAGCTTTTTAGCTCCATAGTGAACATAGTTCATAAGGATAGACAATTGTAATGAGAAAACAAAAGGCTTCAGATCTGGTGGCAGAGATACGGAGGATACAGAGGGGACAGAGAAAAGTCATGATCGAGAAAAAGCATAAGACACAAGAAATTCAAGCAGTATCAATGAGATTAAAACACATGTAATCTTTCATAGTCTATTTAGTATAGCACAAACGTTAATAAAAAGTGATATTAGACTAGGTTAGTTACCAAGCATAATTTGCACTATGCAGACCTTAAAATTCCATATTTTTAATATTTGACCAGGGTTTTAACTGACCCTAAATTGAACCACAAAATACCCTTGTTTCACAACTAGGATGTCATTTTCAAAGAGAACCTATGTGCACAGATAAAGACATGAGACACAGAGTGTTGCACATGCGCCTCAAGTAATTAATGCTTGCTTTCCAGAAAAACAAAAGAATATATTAAAAAAATAGTACAAGCCGTGTGTCATGTTGAGCATGTGCTCCAGACACTCCAACCCATGAGGATTCTTCATGCTTCATGGAAAAGAACATAAATTTGACATATTAGGTATTGCCAATGTATGAAAACTACCTTTAATATTTCCATTTGGACCATAGAGTATTCTTAACCGACATGGACCCAATGAATTTTAGTTTTAGGATTCCAATGGGTTGTGCTTTCTCAAACAAAGTAATAGATACTGTCACTTTTAATTCAAAATCCCCAAATATGTTGCAGTTGTTCTGAGGCGAAGACTACATTTTGCTTTAGGAAAAATACTGACCATCCCAATCTCTAAAGCCTTGCCATGACAACCACTAGATTTTTGTTATAAAACCATATGATTACATTAAAAACTATAAGCAGAAATAAAAGAAAAAAAAAAAAAAAACAACAGAAACAAGTTCAAAAAAATATGTGCTACAAGCACAAGATTTTGAGCTTATAGAGCCAAAGTGCCAATATGGAATGGAGAGTCTTGTTTGCTTTGCCAAGGAGGAGAAGACTTGAAAAAGAAAAGAAAAAATAAGCTTACTCATGAGAAGTTCAACAACTTAAAGGACCTTGAATCCAATTTCAAGCCTAAGATAGTTGTGTGCATGATCTTAGCATCCCAAAATCTTACAGGAATCTTACGAATGAACACAAAACATCTAAAAAATATGAATCAGTAAAAAGGAATAGATAAGAGAATTATAAGGTGTGCAACTTACCAAAAACTGGACTTGATCCAAACTGGCAGAGAAAACTTGAAATGAGAAATATCCTCGTGAAGTAAAATATGTATCATGGGGTCATCTAAGTCATATGCACCCATGCCATATCTCGAGTAAGTTGTTGTACTGTAATATAGTCCAGAATAATCATCAGTGAAATATATGCAATTCCTAAGGCACTCTGGGTAATCAGAAGCTGAAATGGAGAAAGAATGATCGCTTCCAATAAAGATACACCAGTCACCCAAAGACTTCACTTCTTCCCACTTCTCATTGCAGACATCCACCCAGTAACCCACAAACGTCCATGTTCTACGAACTGGGAGACCAAAAATTTCAAAGTCATACATTTTTCTTTGGACTACATGTATTTGCCCTCCTAGCTCCACAAGATACATAGAGGTTTCAGCAACCTCATTATCCACATTTTTTACTGGTAAAGATACGGTCTTTAAATGAGCACCTTCAAAATCGTAGACTCTAATGTCTCCACAAGAATCAATAGCATAGAAATTCCCACCAAAACCAATGACATCATTGACAAGTGCAGGACCACATTGCAACGGGGTCCAGGCTACATCACTGGGTTTTGCAAATGCCATCTTATTATCAGAATAGATTGCCAAAACTACACAGTTTGTCAAAGATGGATCTGAGTACAGAACAGCTTTGTACACAAATGTATTCCGAAATGATTCAGGACATCAAACAAGACTTTTCAGATTTGAGCATTTATGTAGAGGTGGGAGAAAAATCTGGACACGTGACAGGGGATTCAATAAATGCATGTTATATGCAGCATCCATAGTAACCAACCAACCATAAGGTAAACCCCAACATCGCCTACCACAGATTTCTGGCAAAGAAAGCTCATAAATCTTCTGGTTGAAAGGACAGTAAACTTGACGCATATCACTTTCTTCCTTCTCCGTCAGCATCAACCAAGGAAGCAGAGAGCATGAATAGCTATCTGCTTGAAGCATAACCATTCTCCATGACTTGCAGACCAATCCAAACCTCAGACGATCTTCCACAAAATGCAGCTGTCTTGCAATAAGCTCCAAAACATCAGCAGGAAAATTAGACCAATCTGCCATTGTCCGAGTGAAGAAAAAGTGTGAATCCAACTGAATTATATACTGAAGGAAGACTATGCCTCTGAGGACATGAAATTAATCTATCATCTAAAGGGATAGGAACTGATTTTCACTGGAAGAGATACTACAACATATAAATACCCAGTAGGCAACGACTATTAACACTGATGGCGGGAAATGACTAATAACATTGATGAGGACGCATCTATATACAAAAATTATATCATCCCTTAATTACTAGTCCAACAGGCCTCCATGAATTTGGGATGATGGAAGCTTGATTTTATCAAGCTCCCTCAAGCTAGGTAATGGAAATAAATGAACACCTAAATCGAAAACGAAAGTGGTGACGGATCGCGTGGAACAGCTTAGGTAAAGATATTTGCAATTTTTCTACATGAAGGAACATAGAAGGTAAAGGCTATCAACACTCAAGGACAGCAATGGCTATTAACATAAACAAGTCCTTACTACTTGCCCAACAGGACTTCGGGAACTTGGGATGATGGAAGCTCGACACCTGTTCCAAGTTTCAACCAGCTTGTAATAATATAATTATGTTGCAACTTCCAACTCCCGTTTGACAAAAACACATAAATATATAGATATGTACATGTATTATCTCAAACTACTGTTTAAACTTCATAAAATAGACATACACCCACCAAGTACAGAAAGAGAAAACAAGGAAACCCATTAATTAAACATATAGACATTAAATTTAGACCTAATTATTATTGGAGAATATTCCATACGATACCGCCTTCCTTCCCAGTTGAAATGGATTCAACAAAAAGGTTCTTTCCTCTAGGCATATCCGGTCTTAGATTTTCCAGTTCACGACTCCGATTCTCTCTCTGGTACCTTCCCCATCTTTCAGTCTCTTTTTCTTCATGGTTATGTCTTAACGTAACAAAAACTCAACACTAGAACGAAAAATTAGTTCTTTCCAAGTAGGATTTTAAGGAATAATAACAGTAATGATCGAGAGAAAGAAGTAAATAATCACTACTCCTATATGGTTTAGATTAAATATCGAACTTAACCATACAAATTACCACAAAAACCAATTTATCGAAAAATCTGATACCAGTCTTAGTGTTAACTGTCAGTTGAAGGAAATTAGATGAGAAAGTACTAAATTTTTTTAAGAGAAATCACCAGTAAAAAATTCTTCGTTTCCGGATTATCTCTTCCCCTAAACCACCATTAGAGTTTGTTAAAGTTTTGACCATTGCAGGTTTTGGAGAGGAAACGTACTGAACTGAATCAAGTTGATTTTGTCTGGGTGCTTCAAATAGAGATATGAATTGTTTATTTATATTAAAGTACTCGTTTTATTGAATGCGTTCTCGAGAGAGTTGTCGATTATCTTAAAGGCGTGTTTGTTACGCAAAATTTGACTCAAACTTATTTTTAGTTATACCTATTACTTTTATAAAAATTAAGGGATTGTTTGACCCAAACTTTTGATAAAAGTTTTTAGTACATTCGATATAAAATTGATTAACAACTGTGGGTGCACAAAACGTGAGATTAAAAGTAATTGTTGACTTCTAACTCAAACTGTTAGTAATTCTTTAATCTATTCCAAGCAAGTACTAAGTCGATTTAGATATATTTAGGTTCTATTAAAATCGTGAAATTTTATATGTGGGTCCCACACTATTTGTGGCTTAAATTACAAGGCAATGCTTGTTGAGTGTAGCCATACAACCCCTAGTTTTTCAGGGGGTTGATCAAGTGGTATTCCCCTAAATTGCATAATAACTCCAACATTTTATAATTATAAAAAAATCAAGGTCCACACAATTCATAGAATCCATGTTTTACAAGTTGCCGTTTTCAAACACGCTTTAACAATAGTCAAACATGGCTAAATAGACAAATAAACATGTTTGGCTTAGCTTATAATGAAAGAGATTAGACAAAACAATATAGAAATAGATTTAAAACAAGATATGAAGAATTCAAATAATAGGATAAAAAATATTTTTAATCTTATGTAAATTTATTTAAATAGATATATATAAAATTAAATAAAAATATATCGTTCAAAATACATCAACTTATATAAAGCCAACTCAAGTTCGCATTCTAGATAGCTCACCTCTCTTTATTCAGGCGTCAAACTAAGCCTTTGTTTGTCAACGATTCTAATACATTATTTTTTTCACAGTAATCATTTTCAATCACACATTCTTTATTAAAACAATATTACACAATATTAAAAAAAAATCCTTCATTTTTAATCACACATTTCACATCAATCACTATTCCATAATATACTTTTTGAAATTAAAGAAGCACAAACAATCCCTAATTGTCATATTATAAAGAACCACCTCCACATAGCATTCACGTAACTTGTCAAGAGATAAAGCAGCATCCTTAATAAGAAGTTTTCAGGTTTATAGAACAAGTCAATGGTAGGCCATAAAGTTTGAACATCAGCAGCAGTTATACTCTATACCTTCAAGGTAACAAGACATCATAAGACAGCCAACAGTGCGTTTACCTTATAAGGTTCTTCATTTTCTTTCTCAACCCATGTCCTAACCAATTTTCGAGGATTGTGCTTGAAGTATCCATATCTAAAACGATAGTCACCTCGTATGTATCCATCTCTCTCTCTCTGAGTTATATATTTTGATCTCTATCTTTTGTCTGTTTTTTCTTAATGAAAATTAGTTTTTATTATAGGACCTCACTTGTGGCTGAGAAATAATGTGGTACAATTAAAGGGATAAATTATTTACATATAATATTCGGTAGACTCCAAGAATCTGTCATTGAAATTTTCCTAAGATCATGAGGTACATTATCCCCTTCTTGAATGGTGAAAGAATTACTAGAAGCTCCAATTTTTGCCAAGTAATCAGTTGCCATATTACCTTCCTTGTAGACAGTGGTGGATCCAGCACCCGATGTGCTCCGGCGACCTCCTGCGCTGGATCAGTCAGTATTAATTTTTTTTTTTTTTTTATGTCAATGTGTGTGTGTGTGTGTGTATATATATATATATATATATATAATCTCAATCATTCTCAAATGCTTCTAGTATTCTAATTGGTTGGAACACCCATCCTGTAAGCGGAGGTCTTAAGTTCAGTCCTCCACATTGATGTTTTGGTTTAAAATTTTTCACAATTATAAAAAGATTAGTTATTAAAAATAAGGAAAAATTGTAGCAACGGTCCCTAACCTTTTCATTTTTACAGGCTTTACCCTAACCTTCATTTTGTGCCAACAGAGATTCCTAACATTTCATAAATATGTACTTCGGAAATCGTCTAAAACACGATCAGTTGACCGAGAAAATTAAGAAATTAACATCCAATAAAATCGTCTAAAACAATGTCCAAAAAGGTATCAACATTCAATAAAATCATTGCGGTAGCAAATAGTTCAAGGAAATTTCTCGATCAATTGACAATGTTTTGAATGGTTTCTGTCCAAATGGACCTCAGGTGCATATTTATGAAAGGTTAGGGATCTTTGCTGACACAAAATGAAGGTTAGTATAATATCTGCAAAAAATGAAAAGTTTAAGGATCGTGCTGCAATTTTACCTAAAAATAATGCAACAACAGAGATTCAAACCTAAGCTCTCCTATGCAATTATTGGAAGCTTGATCACAATGGCATGTATTTACTGCTGATGCCCAATGTAATAAAAATATATATGTTTAGTTTTAGCAAAGTAATTGATATATTGTCTCTTCGTTTTAATTTTTTTAAACTAAAATTTGATCTTTTAATGACTCAACGGTTAAACCACTGACTCAATGACTTGATAATTGGGTCAACAATCCAATCGTATATGATAATTATGTTTCGAAGAGTGAAAGATTAAAGAAGAAGAAAATTAAATCAACAATTGACAATTGTTAAAACCCAAAAATTTATTTGTTTTAATATTGTCATTAAAAACTATTTAATCGGCAAAAATTTACCAATTCGAATAAGCATTGGCAAAAAAAATTCTTCACATTCAACGACAAAACCTTTGTCATCTTTAAAACTGTGAAATATTTCGCTAGACTGAGATTATTAACAAATCAAACAAAGAAAGTAAGTAATTTGACCAAATTTTCAAACTTGAAATTCTTACTCGATCAATATTATTAAACTGGTAGATAACATACATCTATACTTGCAATTCGAACTACGATACAAGTGATTTCTATTCACAATATTGGTTTTAATTGTCAGCATTAAGGGTAAATGGTCAACGATCTACTGTGCTAACTCGAAATCCTAAATTCGTCACTGCCTGTAGATATATGTTATCTTGGCACGGGTGGCTTCAATCAAGGCATAGATATCCTCCCACAAATACCCTAAAGTGCATCTTCCATCCTGTGCTCATTTCACCATCAGCGTAGAATCTGATTCCACCCCAAAATCCCTGTTCCTTGCACATAGCCAAACTGTTCTTAAGAACATGGAACTCGACAACGATGTTAGTAGCCACGCCATAGTAGTGAACAAAACCAAAAATTAGTTTACCTCTACTATCTTGAATCAGTCCACCTCCACCTAAAGCATCTGAATTTCCTTTAGAACCTCCATCAACATTCAACTTCAGTGTACCACTTCCTGGTCT